AGGTAAGTCCAATCCTATTCTCACTGCTAGCTACTAGTCTCCTAGTAAATCTAGTATCGTCCGTTACTTGAATGCTCGGGATTGGGTGATGACCTCATCATGTCTGGAGTGTTGATGTATTGCCAAGGCTGGCTTACCTATAAATCATGTACTGCAATTTCACAAATTGTCGGCGTACTTTTATTTTCGGTACTTTCGGTGCGTCTTGTTCATACCTACAAGTACAATTTCAATACACCGAACAAACACTAACACGCATAATCCAATAGGGAACTGCTTCTCTGTACCTAAATTTTCTGTTCGCCTAACCTGGCCTTTTGCCCGCATACCGGAAAAATTGATCACGTATTAAAATTTGTGAAATTGGAGTAGTAGTATTGTTGATTTAATACACACGCCGTAGTGTTGAGACGGCATACATGGATACTGCTGCTCGGTGAGGTCGTTTCCGTGGCGACTGCACCGGATACACCCAACAATTAGTTTACACTACAGTGAGTGGAAGAACCTCTTTAGAAAGAGTACTAATGTAGTACAGATGAGACAAACCTCTTTAGAAGAACCAGTGCTTGAAGGTCTGTCGCCTTGTTTCTTGCAGAAGACGCGGATAAGAGCAACTCACGTTTTGGCGAATAAACTCCAGCAGCTTGTTGATGTATGCCCTTGTCCTTGCGATGTTTATAAGCCGACCTTTTATTGACCTAAAAAGTGGAAGTCGACTTACAACCGGACTATAACTGCCTTTAAACCGGTAAATCGACGCCCCAGTTTTGAGGTAAAATGCGGTTTGTGTTTGTTCCCACTCTCTTTGTCTCCTAGGCATTCTTCTCATTGCAAGTCGGCAATGCGTATGCACGGTAAGCGTGTTGTTTGCTAGATCGTTTGTTTCCGGAAGTCAGTATGAGCTTGGGGACCGTGCACATACACATGTTAAGCATGGTGCTAGAAGAATTGTTTGTTTGTTTGTTTTATTTGAATTCGTTTAGAGCACAGGCAATTCTGCCTTCTCACAAATACTTCAAGAACATTAAGTTATAGAAAAGAAAAAGGACCAAGGAACTACAAGTTACGCTATAATGTCCACTAACACCACTAGTTACTAAACAATCAGCTCATGCTATCGCCTTTTTCTCTTCTATAAATTTATCCTTGGCTCTCCGTCCGAGTCCATTCAAGTACGTAAAGTAATGTTTGCTTGTAGAATTGCCACACTGCCTTACTAGCACCGTTGCTGTCGGTTAGTGGCAGACGTTGGTACTCTTGTCGGGCATGATCGTGCGCGCACGCGTGTGTGTGTGCGTGTGTATGGCTGGCTCGGTTAGCTTGTAAGTTGAAGTTGTTCCACACTTCAGGTACATGTAGGTGAGGCGGCAGTAATCGCTGGTATGCAGTGACTCAACTCTTGCTGGGAGCAGTTCTGGAAACTAATGAGCAGCGGCAGGGAATGCATGCAGTGACTCAACTCTTGCTGGGAGCAGTTCTTGAAATGAATGAGCAGCGGCAGGGAATGCATTCAGTGCGTATGCTTTAGGAATTAGGGTAGTCACCCGGTGATCACAGGCTGATGGTGGGGTTTTGCAGTACGGTGCACAGTGCGATCAAGAAGTGGATTTGAAATCGAGGCTGTGTAATCAGTGCATACTGGTGCAGTCAGACCTCGCTTATCCTGTCCTCTTTTATCTGGATCCCTCGCCATCCGGAAGAAAATCGTCGGTTACCGATTTACAGCATATGCCATGCATACATACAGTATGTGTGTTCGATTATGCGGTTCCCTCGCCTATTCGGATATTTTGTGGAGAACGGATGCGTGCGGTTAAGCGAGGTCTGACTGTATATATCTCTGTTGTTGGTGGTGTTTTTTTTTGCTGGTTTATCAGCATCACTCTTCTCATTTTTTTCTTTTCTCCATGCCAATATGTGTACTTGTTGTCATCCTACCCACAGGAATGGTCAAGGCCTACACCCGTACTTTTCCAACAGTCGCAACTTTGTCCGTGTCAAGGATAACGGTGAGTACTGTGTTTCCCCGAGTAGAAGTCACACACACACCTTTTTGCATTGAAAATCAATTGTAAACAAGGGAGGGAGGGGGGCGACTTACAATCGAGCATGACTTACAACTGAGTGAAATATATCGAAACAATATTGCTCAAGCCTGACAATGGGGGTGTGACTTATAATCGGGAAAATGCTGTAGCTGTCTGCTTGGTGTTTTTCAAATTGTTACGACCTCAATTGTGAGTTTGCTCCAGTCATGCATACACCCTCAGGGCTGCCAAGTGCTTCGATATTTCGGTTATGCTCTGATGTTTGCACGTCGTTCTAACCGACTGACCGATAATGGTGATGGTGAGATGGCGAAAGCCGCCATGCGTACAATCAGCCCTTCTGGTAACCCGAAAAACCCTTGGCTTTCCGGGATTTCTGTCCCTCAAACTGCCCCATTTTTCGTAAAGTCAAGATGATCAGGTTGTATAGATCATGAACGCTTCGAGTCAGACTGGTCATGCTTACAATATCTTTTTTCTTGTTTTACGATGACAGTATGTTACAAGGTGTATGGAAAACAGTGTTCCTGACTCCAGCCATAAACCGGTTGGTAGAGTGTCGTAACATGCTGTCATTGCGAAACTTGTTTAACTATCTACAGGGGCGTCGGAAGGTAATTTATTGTGGTACGGTCAGCCATCTGAAGTACACTTTGCTCGTGGGGGAGGGTGGGTGAGCCGAAAAATTTGGCAATTTAGACCCCAATTCAGTGCATTTTATTGATTCATGGAGTACTTGGGGCAAATAGTGGTACGATCAATAACGTGGTGACCGTACCGTGTGCGACACCCCTGATCAAGCAGGGCTTACATGTACAGCACAATATATATATGGTTTGCGTGTGTGTGTGTGCGTGCGTGTGTGTGCGTGTGTTGCTGCGTATTTGTGCAGGCAAGCGCATGACAATGTTGCGCTATCGTCGCTTACAGATCGCTGCCATGCTGATCGACCTGCCACCCACCAAGCACATGCTGGAGTCATTCACAGTCGACCTACTCAGTTCATCAGTAAGTGGAAAGTGAAGTTCATGCACTCTGTTGGGGTCTGGACACACTCCTTGGAGCACAGTTGTCCGTCGTGTCCTTCTGTTATTGTAATATACCGGGAAATTTTGAGCCGCTGTCAGTTCCCGATTTGCGAGCACAGACCAATTTGCACCTGGCCATAGTTTTGACTAGAGTCAACTTATTTTTTTAAACTGTAGTTTCATGTTTCGCTCTGGCTTACTTTCGCGATTTTGCACCCGTCACAAAACCGCCAAAGTTTCCAGATGGCGAAGGTTTCCCCGGTTCACAGCACTTCGTACTGATGTCTCACCGAAGTACGTTGTATCCCATAGTGCGTTATTTCCGCAGTACTTTGTACTGAGCAGTTTCAGTGTAACCATGATAGGCTGTGGTGTGAGGGTATGGGTAAGGTTCAGCCCCAGCTGTGTTGTGTAGAGCAGGCTAAAATTAGCGGCGGTCAATTCATCAGCCTGGCAAGCTGTTGAATGGTGTAATCCCAGCACAAGTTGCTGTATCTAACATAGCTGTTCGCTATCATCGCTTCCGCGATGGGCAGGTCTGAGGTCTGGGGATAAGGTTGGCTGCTTCTGAATGTGTGTTGTTGGTATGTGCTGTGTTGTGATGGTGCTTTGCTTACAGGCGTCCAACGTGATCATTGCCGTATCCGGTATCTTTGAAGAAAGTAAGACTGGATTTGATAGCGTGTTGTTGGGCAGTACTGGAGAGGTCTGATTTCTAGCGCCTCCTTGTGCTACACGTCGCGGTGTGTGGCTGCCTTTCTGAATTGGCGTCGGTTGAGTGAGCTCTGCTGGTCTTCGAGTACCGGTACTTGATCTTGCATCTCTTGCTGCAAGAGTGTGGGCTGGTGTGTTGCGCTGAACTGCGCTGCACTGTGCTGGGCTGGCCCTCAGTCTGTAGACGCTGTACTGTACCACACTGTGCTGGGCTGAACCTCAGTCTGTAGACGCTGTACTGTACCACACTGTGCTGGGCTGAACCTCAGTCTGTAGACGCTGTACTGTACCACACTGTGCTGGGCTGAACCTCAGTCTGTAGACGCTGTACTGTACCACACTGTGCTGGGCTGAACCTCAGTCTGTAGACGCTGTACTGTACCACACTGTGCTGGGCTGACCCTCAGTCTGTAGACGCTGTACTGTACTGCACTGTGCTGGGCTGGCCCTCAGTCTGTAGACGCTGTATACTGTACCACACTGAGTGTGTGTAGTTAAAGCCTCTTGCATGGGCAAAATGAATTTCACATATCATCAGTACATCACTACACTGTGTAGTGATGTACTGATGTGACGTGATTCACTCATGTGATGTACTGGTGTGCTGTACTGATGTGACGTGATTCACTCATGTGATGTACTGGTGTGCTGTACTGATGTGACGTGATTCACTCATGTGATGATGTACTTGTGTGCTGTGGCGGCGAATGCCTTGCTTTGTGAGTGCAAGAAAACTGACTGCACAAGTCCTGAATCTCTCATTTCGCTGACAAGCATCCCAGGGCTACCTTCGTTATTTCTTCTTGCTGCTGTGCCGGCTGCTGTCACTACTCGTATAGGTTTCATGTCTCTGTCACGTTGCTGCTTGCTGGACGTACTTCGAAGTATGCAATCAGTCTATGACATAGTCCGCTCTTTCTTTGTGTCTGTGTGTCTGTCTGCGTGTTTGTGTGCCTGTGTGTGTGTGCCTGTGCATGTGTGTGTGTGTGTATGTGTGTGTGTGTGTGTGTGTGTGTGCATCTGTCTGTCTGCCTACGCACCTGTCCGTCTGTTCCGTATCCTGCAGCGCTCACTCAACAGGCGGTGATGCGTGCGTTCACACGGACATTCATTCTCATTGCCGGTCCTGGCGGTGACAGGTAAATTCCATGTGTTTGTGTCTACTAGTACTCAAATGAATACCTCGCTGACATTAGTTGTAACGCTGCTCAAACAAATATCCTCACTGTGTCCGAAGCCAGAAGTTAGCATGCTGTTGTGCATGGCTCGAGCGGAGTATATCTACTTCTGAAGTACAGTACAGTCGTGGCCAGAGAAATCCTAGCCACATGCGGAAAGCAGCCCTAAGGCTCCTGCGGCCCTCAGGTCGGTTTTTTTTGGAACGTGCATGATGTAATTGAAATGGAAACGCTGCGCTACGTTTTACTCGTGGGTCCGATTTCTTTGACCATGGCTGCAGTAGCAATGGTTTTGGAGCTGTGGTAATTTGATGAGCTCTGGCCTTGCTCCCTCTACTTCTGGTTGTGTAGTGCCACCAATTGTCCATTAAGCTCCAGTTAGCGGGACAGCATTTGATCATAACTTGAACTTGAAGTCTTGCACTTCAGTAACATTGCTTCCTCTCCACTGACAGCTCCATGCATGAACAAATTGAGTATGGCAGCGAAGGTCCTGGCTTGTGTTGAACTGTAATGATATCATCTTGCCAGCCATGCAAGAGGTCAGGCGACTGAGGTCATTGCTTGTCTGTGTGTGCGCTGTGCGTGTGTATATGTGTGTGTGTGTGTGTGTGTGTGTGTGTGTGTGTGTGTGTGTGTGTGTCTGTGCGTGCGTGTGTACGCTGTGTGTGTGTGTGTGTGTGTGTGTGTGTGTGTGCGTGCGTGTCTGTTCGTGCGTGTCTGTGTGCATACGTGCTTGCACATGTGTGTGTGTGCGTGCGTGTGTTTGTCTGCTCTGTCGTTGCAGTATACGGATAGCAAATGATGAACTGCAACTGCGCAACCCGTCCCCGGCTCAGCTACAGGTGAGGTTTCTTGCCCTGTCCTCAATCAGTACTACTTTTTAGTCATGTTCAACTGCAATCTAACATTACTCTTGATAGCGTATTCATACAGATGCACACATGTCTATCTCATTCATACTGATGCGAACTGTGCTTTTTTTTACCATGATTGTGAAGCTCATCCACCGTCCGTAGAGGGCTCAATTTGTCGAAAGGAAAGAGCGGAAACTATTTTCGTCTGATGGTCGATTCAGTTCGTGAAACTCAGAGTTACGAAAAACAACTGCTCGTTCTTCTATCTGTGCTTTTTATTGGTATTTCTTTCTTTTTAGTTTGAAGGAAAGTTCAAACGGGAAAAGTCTGAAGAAAACTATATTTTTTAACCATCGTTCTATTTGACTCCTGGCTGACCAAAGCTGCCGTCAGTTGAAGTCGCAATACATCGACTCCTATAATTGAGATACTTATTAGTCCTTCTCCTTGTTGATTCTTGCCATGCGCAGAACCCTACAGCTCCTCCGGTGCAAGAACCTTCGCAGGCCGGTGTGGCCGCAGCCAGTGTCATTGCTGCAGTGCCAGCTGCTGTAGTAGCACCAGCACAGGCGTCCATTACCAGTCCGTTGGCACTGTCTCCAGAGCAGGTAATCTTCTCGTGCTTGTAGCCGGTAATCCCGGTTATAGCATAGCTTCTTCCTGGGCAGGTCATTTCTCTCTGTTTTGACTTGCTCTCTCTATCTGTCTCTCTGTCTGTCTTGCTGTCTCTCTCTCTCTATCTCTCTGTCTCTCCCTCCCCCCCCCTCTCTTTCTCTCTCTCTCTCTCTCTCTCTCTCTCTCTCTCTCTCTCTCTTTTCTCTCTCTCTCTCTATTTCTCTCTCTCTCTCTCTCTCTCTCTCTCTCTCTCTCTCTCTTTCTGTCTCCCTCTCCCTCCCCTCCCACTCTCTCCATTTTCTGTTGTATGATTATATAGTCTTGTATGCTCACTTTGTCTTCTCATCATCTTGTTCTATTGTGCAGCAACAACGTCAGGGAATGATTGAGCAGTTCTCCACGCAGTCTGGCATGAACCGCGAATGGTCTGAAAAGTGAGTCCTAACCTCTCAGTGTTGACTTCTTCCAGTACTTAGGCAACTGCTGTACTTCTTGCGGTGTTGTGCGTGACACCAAATCCCTTTAGTCGCACAAAGCTATGCGTTGAATGTGCTTCTTTTCGTTCAACCTTGCCATTGTACTGATTGTCTTTGTTTTCCATGTTCGTCTGCAAGACATTCCCCTGACATTGTTCTCTTGCTGCCAACAGGCAGGTAGTGACATGCGAATGGTTGTGGAGAAGCCTGTTTGGTTCTTGGTTATGAACTTTGATTTTTCGCCCCGCTCTGTGTACAGGTGTTTAGCGGAGAATAGCTGGAATTATGAAGTCGCTGGGCAAATGTTCACGCGGCTACAAGTAAGTGAGGCAACTCGGGATTGTGTGTGCGTGCATGTGTGTGTGCGTGCGTGCGTGTACGTGCGTGTGTTCATGCATGAGTGTTATAAATGTGTAGAAAACGCTGCAGGTGTTATCATATTGAATTTGCAACACACTGCCGTGTGCCGTGCTATGAGCATATGCAGCAATGCGTTGGCCTGTTGCCTTATGTTGGTCAGCTGTACTGTGGTTGCGGTGGCTTTGAGTCCATTGCACACATGCCTATGTACAATCTTGTAGGTCCATATCAACTACAGTAAAACCTGTGACCAACGACCACCCGTTGGGGCCAGAGTAAGTGGTCTTTAGTGGCAGGTGGTCCTTAGAGGTTTGCACAGCATAACCACCTAATATGAATGTGAGACCGTCCGTGCCTGGCGAAGCGGTCTTTAGTACCAGGCTGGTCGCTAGTCACGGTGGTCTTTAGTACCAGGCTTGTCGCTAGTCACGGTGGTCTTTAGTAGCAGGCTGGTCGCTAGTCACGGTGGTCTTTAGTACCAGGCTGGTCGCTAGTCACGGTGGTCTTTAGTAGCAGGCTGGTCGCTAGTCACGGTGGTCTTTAGTATCAGGCTGGTCGCTAGTCACGGTGGTCTTTAGTAGCAGGCTGGTCGCTAGTCACGGTGGTCTTTAGTAGCAGGCTGGTCGCTAGTCACGGTGGTCTTTAGTACCAGGCTGGTCGCTAGTCACGGTGGTCTTTAGTAGCAGGCTGATCGCTAGTCACGGTGGTCTTTAGTAGCAGGCTGGTCGCTAGTCACGGTGGTCTTTAGTAGCAGGCTGGTCGCTAGACACGGTGGTCTTTAGTACCAGGCTGGTCGCTAGTCACGGTGGTCTTTAGTAGCTGGCTGGTCGCTAGTCACGGTGGTCTTTAGTAGCAGGCTGGTCGCTAGTCACGGTGGTCTTTAGTACCAGGCTGGTTCGTAGCCACGGTGGTCTTTAGTACCAGGCTGGTCGCTAGTCACGGTGGTCTTTATTAGCTGGCTTGTCGTTAGTCACGGTGGTCTTTAGTAGCAGGCTGGTCGCTAGTCACGGTGGTCTTTAGTACCAGGCTGGTTCGTAGCCACGGTGGTCTTTAGTACCAGGCTGGTCGCTAGTCACGGTGGTCTTTAGTAGCAGGCTGGTCGCTAGTCACGGTGGTCTTTAGTAGCAGGCTGGTCGCTAGTCACGGTGGTCTTTAGTAGCAGGCTGGTCGCTAGTCACGGTGGTCTTTAGTAGCAGGCTGGTCGCTAGTCACGGTGGTCTTTAGTAGCAGGCTGGTCGCTAGTCACGTTGGTCTTTAGTAGCAGGCTGGTCGCTAGTCACGTTGGTCTTTAGTAGCAGGCTGGTCGCTAGTCACGGTGGTCTTTAGTAGCAGGCTGGTCGCTAGTCACGGTGGTCTTTAGTAGCAGGCTGGTCACTAGTCACGGTGGTCTTTAGTAGCAGGCTGGTCGCTAGTCACGGTGGTCTTTAGTTACAGGTTTTACTGTATTACAGTTCTTAACCAAGCACATGAACATAATTTGGTTTGGTTTTCGTGTGCTTGCTTTGTGTGCTGTGCAGTCGCAGAAGCAGATTCCACCGGAGGCATTCGTCAAGTGAGCATTGCGCCGTGCAGGACGTCGGCGTCCAGTTATTTTACCTTCTCTCGTCCCGTCGTCCCCCTCTGTCTCTTGAGCAGATGTGTACATACCTCGTCACGGCATGTGTATAGTTAGTGAGCGCGCGCTTGTGAGCGTGCTCTGAGACGCTCGTAAGTCTGGAAGTGCACGCCGCTGTGCGCTGGTGCTTTCTTCGACCACTGCTTAGTGCTATCTCCCCTGCTGCTGCTGCTGCCGCTTCCCTGTCTAGTTCATCGCCGTTGCTGCGGTTTAGCAACGCCATCTACATCGTATGAGCCCCGGCAACAACAACAACAACTGTGTCTTCTAGCGTGTATTCAGCGTCGGCAACCGTCTTCATCATCTACTTTGGCTGGCTTGAATGCGTGCAAGCCTCGTATAGTAATTTTGTGCATAGCTGATTCCAGGTGACGTGCGCACAATATCATCAGAACTTGAAATGGAACTTATTATCAGAGAAACATGAAAGCTCGTCGTGATCAATAGCTGGCCCGCACCTACTGAACCGTTGCGAATTGCGTTGTGTTTCGATATAGCCTGCTGCAGTGTACACAGCATCAGTGGTGGTGCTTCAACGGCCCGGTAAATTCTCAAGAGTGAGTGTGTGTGTGTGTGTACGCGTGTGCACACACGCTCTGGTGTGGAGCAGCTGTGTTGCCCGACAGAACACGTTATGTCTCGCCGTGTGTCATCAGCTCCGAGCCAGTGTCGGTCAGCGTGCACACAGGAAACGCAGCACAGCGGCATGCGTGCGCGTGACATGCTCGTGCATGCAATCCGTCTTGTCTTCGTCTTTAGGAATGTCTTGTTGCCGATGTCGAGTTATCGATGGGCTGTCTTATGGCCGATGTCGAGTTGTCGATGGACTTGTTTCGTTACCGATGTCGAGTTGCCGATGGACTTGTTTCGTTACCGATGTCGAGTTGCCGATGGACTTGTTTCGTTACCGATGTCGAGTTGTCGATGGACTTGTTTCGTTACCGATGTCGAGTTATTGATGGACTGTCTTGTTGCCGATGTCAAGTTGTCGATGGACTTGTTTCGTTACCGATGTCGAGTTGCCGATGGACTTGTTTCGTTACCGATGTCGAGTTGCCGATGGACTTGTTTCGTTACCGATGTCGAGTTGTCGATGGACTTGTTTCGTTACCGATGTCGAGTTATTGATGGACTGTCTTGTTGCCGATGTCAAGTTGTCGATGGACTTGTTTCGTTACCGATGTCGAGTTGCCGATGGACTTGTTTCGTTACCGATGTCGTGGAGTTGTCGATCGAATCTCTCCGCATCTACTTATGCCTGTGCACCGTAAGGGAAATTGATGCCTGGAATACTCGCAATTCCGGGCATTCATGTAGATCATCAGTATGTTTGGCCACTCTGTACACCCTGGACCGTTGCCGTATGTGCGTGTGTTTATGTTGCATGCATGCTGCTGCTGCGGCGGCGGCGGCGAGTGGCGACATCAACAATTCAGATCTGACATCATTTTTTTTAAAGTAATCTTTATACCGCTGCTGCGCATGGCTTTCATCACGGAGTTGTAAAATACCAATTCCCTGGTTTTCATTATCCTAGCGTAATACTCACTTTCGTTGCAAAATCTGTTGTTCGTGTGAGCCATAGCCGACACACCTCCCCTCCCTTCCACGACGTGACTTTTCACTGCACATCACACAACAAAAACTACTTTCTTTTTGTCTGGGGCCAAAGGTATCTCTCTCATTCTCGATTCTCTTCTTCTCTGTCCACTGATTTGCCTCGCGTCTGTTCTGGTTCTTTTGATCATAGGTCTAATTTCTGCTTTTTCTTCATTCTCTACTACAGTTATCTTCCTGTCTCTCTCTCTCTCTCTCTCTCTCTCTCTCTCTCTCTCTTTCTTCCTACTCTTTTCTTGACTTTGGTTTTAGTCTCACGACACTTGATTTATTTTTTTATGGTGTTTTATTAATAAGATTTTGTGTGGTGTGTTTTTTAATCAATCCTGCGTTGTGTTGGTCACTCACTGTTGTGGAGCATATCTTCGAAGGGGAAAAGGGGGAGGGGGGGGGGGGGGGAGGGGAGAACCAGGAATGTGTGTATGTGTGTGTGTGTGGGGGGGGGGGGGTATACAGAACTGGCTGGGGTGAAGTGTGTGTTGCACTCCCGGTATTTTGGTGTTCTGCGCTACATGCATATGCACCCATACCGGTATTAATTTTTGCAACTCCCTGATCTGCAGCTAGCTATGTTCTGGAAAAAAACTTTTTTTCTTTTCTTTTTTTATCGTGTCCGTTCCCGAAGGGAACTCACAACGGCCGCTGTTAAACCCTAGCGGCAGATGCAGCGCCTAACGGTGGGGGTGAGTGGGTAAGTCTCCCTTTGGTCCAGGAAATCTGTGGAGTCCGAAGAAAATTAATACCGTAATAGCACGTCTCCAATAATAGAACACCTTGGGGCGGCATTCAAAAAATAAAGTGCTCAGTCTCCATTAAAAGCACACGGTGTAAATTCATCATTTTTGATGTGCAATCATTGATTTACACTGCTTGTTCTTTCACCGTGTATCTTTGTACAGCATCTGGCTTTTTCCGAACTCCTTTTGCACACTTTCTCTTTTCCCAACTCCAATTTTCATTGTATATACACAAGTCTGTCCCCGGGGAAAATGCGGAAAAAATCGCAAAAAAACGCGGCATAATATGGCATAATTTGCGGTGAATTTGCGGTAAATATGCGGTGAATATTATTGATATCATCTCGCGGCGGCAAGTTTGCAGTTGATATGAGGCAATTTTCAGTGAGTATGTAGTGAAATCAATCAGTTACAAGTCTCTGGTGTAAGCGCTCGTCATATTTGAGTACAAAGCCGCCACCGGATGAGACGTTGCTGACCGAACAGTGCACTTTGTGTACGTGTAGTGCAACAGAAAAGTTCAAAAAACGCGGGAAAATCGCGGAAAGCGCGGGGAAAAAACGCCGCCGCGGAATCCTAATTTTCCCCGGGGACAGACAAGGTAGGATATCCCCCCGATCCCGATAGGCGCCAGCCTTTAGGTAATCCTGTAACGTTCGACAATAGCAGTGCTGAGGGACATAGCTTGTGCACATCTTCGTGGCGCATCCCTTCCCCTCATTGGAACTTTCCGCACCCGAGCCTTCCAAGTTGGAAGGTTGTTGGTTTGCGCTTCGTAGAAATCTGTGTAGGAACTAGGTTTCAGGTCGTCGAATGTCTCAATACCCCTCGCGTAGGAACTAGGTTTCAGGTCGTCGAATGTCTCAATACCCCTCGCGTAGGAACTAGGTTTCAGGTCGTCGAATGTCTCAATACCCCTCGCGTAGGAACTAGGTTTCAGGTCGTCGAATGTCTCAATACCCCTCGCGTAGGAACTAGGTTTCAGGTCGTCGAATGTCTCAATATCCCTCGGTCAGTTGTGTGCCTTGTTGTCGCACTATCTGACTGTATAAGTACAAGATCTCGTTACCTTGGTGGACTGTTAGTCATAACTAGTAACTTCAAGTAGTTGTCGTCCACAAATACCAACATTTTTTTTAGAGAAGATGTTCGTTCGTTTGGGGGGAGAGCTAGAGGGGGTTTGGTCCCTGTTCGTCTCGTCCTTTTAAAAGAAATCGATTCTCTGCATGAACGTGTGTATGTTCGTTTTGAGGGGGGAGGGAGGGGGTCCGGGGAGACACGAACAAAATACATCGTCTTGAGAAAAATATCGATATTTACGGACGGCCCCTTTTAATATACTTAAATAATAGGTCCGTTCTCTTTACTTTATTTTGTTTTAATTCCCGTAGCTATGCAGAAGACGTTACTTCAGTAACGTCTGGCGCTAGCCAGTGTCCACACAGCTTTAATTAATTTGGTGTTTGTTTGTGTCACGCCTGGCGCTATCCCGTATATGTCCCGTACCGTACCGTACAATCAAACACAGCTGGCCGCAATATTCAACAAAATAGGGCTTTCAAACGCATGCGCAAGATCATAACGTGAAGCAACTAACTGTGTTACTGTACTTGGAAGAATGAGTATGAATGCGAAGTGTATGGGGGAATGCATGTAGGGCGATAGTGCGGGTTCGAATCCCAGGTAGTAGGGAGGTTCTGCTCTACGTTTTGGGAACGCGACGCAAAGAATCACGCGAACTTTCTTCGCGTTCCCGTAACGTACATTGTAAAGAAATCCTGTTCTGCTCTACGTTTCACGTAGAGAAGTCACGTGGAATGTGTACTGGGAATTTCCCCTTCCATATTTGGCAATTTTCTGCATGCAGTTGATCGATACCCAGCAAATCCGTACGCATTTTCTCTGCGTGTGCCACAACGTAGAGAACCCCATCTCCGCGTAGAAATCTGGAGCCAAAACACGCGAAGCCGTAGACTCTAACCCAGACACCTGCTCTCTACGTGATTTCTCTACGTTTCACGTATAGCAGAACCTCCCTAGTGTGGAGGTTTTGCTATACGTGAAACGTAGAGAAATCACGTAGAGAGCAGGTGTCTGGGTTAGATAGAGTCTACGGCTTCGCGTGTTTTGGCTCCAGATTTCTACGCGGAGATGAGGTTCTCTACCACGTTGTGGCACACGCAGAGAAAATGCGTGCGGATCTGCTGGGTATCATTCGAGTGCAGGCAGAAAACTGCCAAATATGGAAGGGGGAATTCCCAGTACACATTCCACGTGACTTCTCTACGTGAAACGTAGAGCAGAACAGGATTTCTTTACGTTACGGGAACGCGAAGAGAGTTCGCGTGATTCTTTGCGTCGCGTTCCCATAACGTAGAGCAGAACCTCCCGTAGTGCCTTAAAAAAAGTAGAAGAATTGAAAAATTTATAACATCCCTATGCGTTTTTTGCCTAGGTCATCAAGGCAAAAAAGCATAGCGTAGGGCCCTGAGCTTCCAAGCTCTCTCGTTTCGGCCAGTCGGCAAGGGACAAGGGGAAGTAGCCGTGTAGGGCGTGAGCAAGGAAATCTTGCTCAACAGGAAACCAGCTCTGGCTCAGTCACATCCACTCTCCAAAAGGCTCAGTGTAGGATCATCTAGGATCTCACTGAGGAAGCCGAGGGGACACGGGTCATCTCAAGACTGCGTGGCGCATCACGCGGCCTTATTCGAGTCATTCATTCTCATACAATCCGATTATGTTTTACCTAGTCCAGGACTTGTTCGGTTTCCTATTATTTATCCAGAATAAATGTCATGTACACAAGTACAGTCCTGATTGTCATGAGTTCTCACAGTCTACAAATTTTAGGTGAGAACTCATCATGACATAATCATCAATGAATCATGTACATAGTCATTGTACATAATCCTAGACCATGATTGTGTAGCCGCCTTTTTATGGTTTAGTTTAGTTCCACCACGGGCTGTTTCAGCAGGGACAAAATTGGCGGTTGAGCGTTTCTGGGCTCTGATATTGGAGGAATTTCTTGGAGGAATTTCTTCGAGTTTTCGACTTTTCCAGTGCACTAGGGCATACTGCGCCTACGAACGGAGTTGTTCGGGGAGTTTACTCTCCCATAGCCTGAAGGACTTGCTGGAGGTCTTGGAATCTCGTTGTTTTCCTCGATATTTCTTTTTACGGAATCACTTTCCCTCTCGAAGCACCATGGAGTTGTGACTCTGCATTCGGATTCAGCCCGTACCGTGTAATGGTCACAGGTGCCACGGCGGTGTCCAGACCGTACACGCGTGATGGAAGACGATGTCGATATCCAATCTGTATGGGCGCAGGAAGCGTCAAGACGTGAAGCAGACGCGCTGCGCAGCCGTGTACGCCAGCGGGAGCGAGCGAGGGGCCACAGCGGACAGGTGGGGTGCTGTCGCTGCGCTGCAAACGGTGACCTGTGCAGAGACTGTAGATGCTGCGGCCTCAAGCAGCCCTGTACAAACTGCAGGCCAATGATGGATGGGAAATGTCGCAATCCGCATCCACCTCGAGCTGATGATAGAGGTCTTGTGCCGATGGCGGCGCACTCCAATGCCAATGTACCAGGCGACTGTACCACAGTGGTTCATGGTTCCTTGGGAGGTGCTGACTCCAGCTTGGCACAGCGGCGGGGTATTCCTGCTTGCCCAGTGCCGGTTCTACCTGGACATGAACCAGTGTCGGGTGATCTCATTCTCTCTTCTGCTGGCCGGCTGGATAGGAGCCTCGATGCACGGTCTTTACCTGTAGCTGACAATGGTGAAATGGACAATACTAGAAATGACAAACAAATTGAACCCTTTAAAACCGGAGCTGATACCAACTTACCTGATGGACAGGAAGCGGTTGATCCGCATTCCGCTGTCGACACTTTTGCTCCGGTATGCTCGCCGGGCGTGTATGACACCGGGTCCTTGCCTGGGGGACCTGTGCGTGGTAATTCGGTACCAGCCACAAGTGACTTACACTCTGCTTCCCGGGAGACCAGGGGGCACACGTCCGGGGATGCTGTTGAAGTGAATACCGCTATGTCGACCTTGCGTGTGCAGGGCTCAGCTGATGTCCGGACCGGCTTGGATCTGCCCCAGCCGGAACCCATAGCTAGCTCCGACCCGTCGTTCAGGCTTGGTGATTTGTCTGCAGCGGAGACAGCTGGAGCCATAGAGGCTGCATATAACAAATGTGTTCACTTTCGCCCGAATGCTTTCTCTGTGCCGTCTGGAAATATTGGAAGACGATTTATCACTACCTTGACATCGTTCTATTCCTGCTTCGGAGATGGGGGATCGTATGAAATGATCGCACTCAAGATTGCAGCCGTCTACCAGATGCTAATGCTGCAGAAGCCGGACTGTGACAATAATAAATATGGTAAAATACTTGAGCGCCGCATGGACCAGTGGTCGAAGGGAGATTTTGCAGAGCTGCAACGGGAAGCGGACACCATACAGACCTCTCTTCTATCGTCCAAGAACAAACATAAACGTGATTCAGTGGGTCCGTCGGTTGACCCTGCTAGGCGTTTTGCAGATTATGTCACCGCGGGCAAAGTGGGCAAGG